CACGGCCGGCGCGCGTCGGAACCAGCGTGTGTGCGCGCGCGTGTGCGCACTTCCTGTGTTGGCGTGCCGCGTGTCACGTGAGGGACTTCACTGTGGGTTTCCTTTTATTCAGTATATGCTTTTGTTGGCGCATTGGTCAAATGTTCGTTACTATTAGCTTCTAACTTTGCACTGAGTGTCCCCGCCCTTCCTCAGCTCATCCTACACGCTAACGAGAACTCGTGGGACAGGGCCGGCGACAATTCACGTGTAAATGTTTACTCAAGGACTCTGTTACCGCGTTTAAAGTTACAGTGTGTATCTCTGGAGAAGTAATATGTACACCTACCTTTAGCAGCTGTTGTTGTGGACTAATACTGCGAGAGAACTATTACCAGAGGACTGCACCGTTTTCCATTGGGAATAGAACGTGAACGAGCAAACGTGTGGACTGTGGCCATAGATACTTGTGAGGGTGGGTTCCGCGCAGGAACGGAGACAAGCACTTGGACTGGGTGGTGACTGCTTCGGAGGAGCCCATGGCGGGGGCTCCCACCTGTTTACAGACCTTTTTTCTCCTTCAGACTTTAAAGTAAAAAAATTTTAAAAAGGAATTTAAAAAAAAAAAGAAAAAAAAAGACTTCCGTCGTAAGACGCCTATTTTCCGATGCGGACGCGCTACTTCAGAGCTCTGGGATTGGCAGTGTTCTCCCTCCGGCATCGTCGCGGACTCTGTCACGCCCTCCCGGGCCGGGGCGCTGTGGTCACTGTCTTGCACATGCGGAAGCGCTCTCAGGAAGCCAGGGTTCCGAGGGGCAGCTCCACACCGTTCCATGTATTTTGTAACCCAACCCCTAGCACTGAAGATGTTATAAAAAACAAAAAAAATAAGAAAAAAAGAAAAAAGAGGAAAAAAACTCAAAGAAGAAAAATACCTAATCTCTAATGTGTAGCAGTTACATATTTACCAAATAACGGACTCAGAAGACATAGGTGTTTGAAGAGTGCTTTATATATTAAAAATCGCTTTATGTTTTCAAAATGATCAATGTTTTCATTGTTTTGCAAGAAAGAAAGACAATGGAGTAACATACCCTCAAGTATGTTTAAAACATACGAACATTGTGCTCCCTGCCTGCTCGGTCAGGAAACGTGCATTACATTTTTTTTAATTCGCTTTTTAATGGTTTTATCAAAACAAAACAACAAAAGAAAAAAAAAAGGAAGAAGCAGGTCCTGCGAGTCGCAGGTCCACAGAGCTGGTGTCCTAGCGGATCACGAACTATGCACAGACTGGGCCAGGCCCGTCGGCGGAGTGGCAGCGACAACGCCTCCCTCGGGGCGCCGCCCGCACCCTCTGTGTTTGATGTATGTGCCCCGCACACGTGTATCAGATATACGTGCGCCGACAGCCGGCGGCGTCGAGGCCGAGCTGTAGAAAAGCCGAGGTGTGAACAGCGCGGATGGAAGTAAAGAATCTGTTTCTGTTTTCCGTTGGGGGGGGGGGGGGTGTTGTTTTGACCTTTTATTTTGAAGATGTTTGTAACAGATTAAGAAACAAGTTTGTGGCTTTTAATGTTTTTCCTCATAGAATGTGATTGTTGAAGAATACACACCGAAAGTTGCTTTCAAAAGTACAACGCTTTGTTGAATCTTAATAAATGGCAATTTTTTTCTTGGCTATTGAAGTCAATGTGTGTTTTCTTTCTCAAAGACGGATGTCGGCGGTTTCGCTCTGACTGCACCAGGGCGAGCGGCACGCCGAGGCCCGGTGGCCTGTCACCTTCCTGCTGGCTCTGTGGCTCTGCAGGACCCGCGGGGGTGCAGCAGTG